GAAAGGGCAAGATCCCGGATACAGGTGGCCGAAATGAGCTTTCTCCGCAGGGCGGCCGGGCGCACCCTTAGAGATAGGGTGAGGAGCTCGGTCACCCGGGAGGAGCTCAGAGTAGAACCGCTGCTCCTCCACATCGAGAGGAGCCAGCTGAGGTGGCTCGGGCATCTGTTTCGGATGCCTCCTGGGCGCCTTCCTAGGGAGGTGTTCCGGGCATGTCCCACCGGGAGGAGGCCCCGGGGAAGACCCAGGGCATGCTGGAGGGACTATGTCTCTCAGCTGGCCTGGGAACACCTCGGCATCCCCCCGGAGGAGCTGGAGGAAGTGTCTGGAGAGAGGGAAGTCTGGGCATCTTTGCTTAGACTGCTGCCCCCGCGACCCGGTTCTGGATAAGCGGAGGAAAATGGATGGATGATAGAAGAGAGGGTTCAAGCACCATGTGAGGATGTCTTTACGGTTAAACATCTGTTCATTATACAGGTGCATTCGATGTGACCTTTGAAAAAAGTCAGTTGCATCTTAAAAAAAAAAAAAAAAAACTGGTCACAAAACACAAATGATCACTTGCAGTGTGAAGCCCTGAATACCGTGAAATACTTTCTGCAAACAAAGCGTAGAACAGAGACAATCTCAGTTAATTTTGACTATTTAAAATGACGCTTATATTCATTTTAAAATGTATTACTTCTAATAAAGAGTAAGCTCACTTACTACCTGCCACCATCAGAAGGGAATGTATTCTTCTCCTCCAGGTTTGCCTTACCCATCAGAGGTCATGGGTACATGCTGTTTTCATAAATCTGTTCACAAATCTGCTGAGACATGCTGTGTCCTTGATGAAGGGAATAAATCACCATCATGTGTGTCTAACAAGGACCCCCGTCTGATCTAAAAATGTATTACTTGTTAATAACTGTCCAATGTAGACCGGGGAACAGTTCTAAATTGTTTCATGTCAGTATCAATGATTCAATGCCAGCACCTTTTTGATACCTTCTCACATTAAATGAACTCTGCTGTGCCATTATTTGTGCATGCTGTTCACCTGCAGCAGTGTCTGTGCAATATCTGGATTCTCTGGGCTTTCAAAGTGTAGCATCTGTGATCCCAGGCCGTAGTAGTAGGGCCCCATCTTATGCAGGTCCACCACCTTGGGGTCAGCATTGAACACGGTCCTCCAGCCCTCTCTGTACACCTTAGGAAGCTCCACAGACAGCACCCTTTTCTTCCTCTCATACAGACCCTTGCACAGCCACAGAGGTAGCTCCATCTTTGAACCCTGACATCAAGGAAACAGAATTGGAGTAACTGTCAAGATACCTGGACTCTGGGGTCAATACTGCAGCTACTGTATGTGTGTTGGTACATGGGGATTGGTTTGAATGCCCTGTGTCACCTTACAGTCACAGTATACTTCTATTGTTAAAATAATTTAGTTCTATAACATGTCACCCAGGGCAGCAGTGTGGCTCAACAGCACATTCAATAGTTTTTTTGGATAACAAAGGAGGTCTATGACACAGTTGAATAAGTTAAACTACAGTCTGGAATCACAGACATGATAGCAAGTACATGAAATTCATTTTCAATTAGTTTTAGCCTCGGTATGGGCTATCCTAAAAACAACAAACATAGAAAATCACCAGTTTTGTCAACAAGTCTGTCCAGTGCACACTTGATACAGTTTTGAGACGTCATACACAGGTTTTTCCCTGCCATAGAAATTCTCAGGTGTAGTGTTTTTGCAGAGTGCCTGAGTCAAAGGGGACTTGATCTCAAATGAAACGTATGCTAGTTAACATGACTGAGCTGTCAATCCACATCGCTTTGTGTGATTGGTGTCTGACCGCATCATGGAACTCAACAAACAGCTGATAGGATATTTCTCTGCAAGGTCAAGTCAAGATCAGGGCTTGGTATTAAGAACCGGCTCCAAGTTGGAACAGTTCCAAATTTCCAAGAACTGGAAATTCACTATGATGTGCATTTTGGTTCCTAACTGTTGTACATTTCAGTCGTGCTCCAGAGTGAACTGCAATGAGCGTTACACTGCCTGGCCAAAATAAAAGTCGAACCTGTACAACTGCATGCACATCAGTGCAACACTTCCACCTTAACATCTGTGTTTATGAAGCTGGAAATGGCTCAGTTTGAGAGCCCTGATGGTAATACAAAACCACCCAGATTTTGATGTTTTTTTTATCCTGAATTATGATCACTGCAGGCAGAGCTTAACTGAAAGTTGCCCCTAAATGGTTAGTGACTTAGTAGGCTAACCCAACCAGGTAGTGGCAATGATGCAGCAATGAGGTAATCTGTTATAAACATATGAAAATTCAACTAAAGCTTGTTCTTGAATGGATGTAGTATAACCACCAGCAGACCCTTAACGTATAAAGTGATTTTCGAGACACTACACTGTCTAAGAGTTACGTTTTTGAATATTTTTTGTGACATCACTTTTCAGCGTTACACTGTAGACGGTCCCTGCTGCGCACTCCTCTCACAGCCAGACGCACAGAGACCAATGTCTGCTAACGACTCGATTTAATAAAAAATAAGGTTGTAGTCTATCTTACTACGAAACTAAAGAGGCGTCCTTTGTGTTTTAACAACGTTTCGCTTATGATTTGTTGATTCCGAAACTTCGAATCTGTGAATATCTTTCCAACTTCACCAAAATAAACAAATTCAGAAAAGTTTAAGCGACAGCAGGTTCATACATTTTCCTTCAATACATGTACTGACCTCCGGTATGTCCTGCATGTCACTCGACTTCTCGAGGAATCCAAGCCGGGGGAAAATACACTCTGTTCGGATGGGAAGTCTCTCATGACAGAGCAAAATATCGTCGAGAGAAAGAAAATTCTCCCCCATTCCAACTCCAGGTGGTACGGAAACATACGACTGTGTATCCATTTGAACCCGAATTAGACAAACAGAAGCGATCTAACAAATATATTTACTTTATTATTGAGCAAAGACGTTTCCTGTCGCATTTATACTTGTTTCTCTTTACGGTTTTAGCGCCACGGCACGTGGACCAATCAGAGCGCCGCTATGAGGTTTACGGCTAGACCAGAGCAATCGATTCAGTCTGAGTCGAACTGAGTCAAAATATCTATCTTCCTAACCTTTATTACGGTTTTATTAAGTGTAGTTCAAACTGTTTTAAATTCTGTGGTTGCATTTTGCTATATTTAAATATGGCTTGTATTTAATCTTGAAATACAATATTTTGTATTAGGCATGCTACATGCCCATCTTTTCTCCTGTCCCTTTTTCTGTTCATCCTTATTTATCCGTTCATAAGTGAGAAATGACACCTAGTCCATATTATAATCTTGCATTTGATTATAATAGTGATGGAGAAAAACTTTAAGGGTACATCTGGTTACAGGTTCAGACTACAGGAAGAAAAGGTCAGTCATCTTCCTTATTTTGATATTTTTAATATTATATATTTTTTAAGTACTCAGTTTTTATCCCTATTTATCTCATTTCAAAGAACATTCCTTTGTTTGTCTGCATTGTTTACTGTCTGTTTATACTGCTTATTCTGCAGTGTTTGCACTGTTTGTTGCTGTCAATGTTGCTGTTAATACTGCTTATTTTGTTATATTACACAGCCTTATGCTGGTTTACTGTTTGCACATTGAAAGCCGATGTACCAGAGTCAAATTCCTTGTGTGTCCGTCACACCTGGGCAATAAAGCTGATTCTGATTCTATATATGATTATATATGCCATAATTAATACTTGTCTTAGAGATTACACATAAAAGCCACCAGACATGTTAGTTGGCTTCCCCAAAAACTTGGCAGCCATTCATATCTTCAGAAAGTAAAATATGCCAATTATATAAAAGACTCTAATGTCATAGTAACCATGGTAAAAGAAGGTACTGTATTCTTGTAGCTATGTGTTCGAGCTGAGAAGCCAGGCTGACGATACAGTGGTCCTACTGTAGCAGTAGTCTGAGAGACTGGATATTTTCACTCAGGGTAAAGCACATGTCATTTCCCAAAGAGCTCATCCTTCTTTATTAGCTGTGGGCCATGATACACTGGGAACATTGTCACACAAATAGGCAGTGAGGATAGTAGTTATCACTATTATTTGGCTTCTTATGGCCCCGTTATTCATCATCATGTTGATCCTTATCCAGCTGAAGTTAACACTGCCCATTGTCTCAAACCTTCTACATGTCATGTCCTTAACAAGAAACAGTACTAAAAGACTTGCAACACTTTATTTGAAGTGGTGTTCATGAGGCATCATAACCCCAGTGATATAGTAAGAGGGACGAGTGTGACTACTTTCTGCAGAAAGCACATTCAAATTCCACTAAAGCTTAGACATCATCACATGATGGTTGCTGCATGAGGCATCTGTTTAGAGAAGATGAAGTTGAATTCCCAGAATTTTGTCAAAAAGCATGCTCATGTTTACTGGACTAGCCAGTGTAGGATGCTTTGTGAAAGATAACAAGGCAAACAGAGGAAAAAGATTTTAAAATGTCAACTTTTAACTCTTAGAGTTAAAATGTATCTTTAATGTACGGAATCATACATTCATGCATTCTCTGAATATAATTATTAAAGCTGCATTAATCTGTTTTTGGCTTTTTTTGGTCATTTGAGGGCAGTTGAATAATAAAAAAAACACATCCCTGACACATCACCTTTATAAGTTTGTATGGTTATTAACCAGACATGCTAAAATCTTAGGATTCATTTGGAATCATTTGTTTGTTTTTGGCAGTCTGATGAATTTAAGTCAAATAGTCACTTTCCTTTTAGCTCAGCACCACTAACAGATGGAAATACTGTATCTGATTGTTTAGTTGCTAAAGTGATTATGTTCTTACTAAAGACAGCAGCTTGTTGCACTCGGAAACAACGTTGATGTCACTGTTGAGAGTTATTGGTAGAGTGGAGTCAGTTGATAATTCTAGGTAGGTTCACTACACTAAAGGTGACACCTTTCACATTACACATATTGTTTGGAACATTGTTAATATAAACATGTGGGTTAGTGGCAGCTTTAATAACCAGCTCTTTAGCTGTTAAATGTTCCACTGTGTTCGCCATTTAGTCACTAACTTTGTCTGTCTGCTGTTTGGTGCCAGACAGGCAGTGTACAGTGGTTGATCCTAGCTTTCTTCATTGAAATGCTCATGCTAAACTGCTTGTGGGAAAACAAAAACAATTAGCTTAAGGAGGCTAAAACATCTGTAGATCTGAGGGGAACTCCAGAGTTCCAGGATTATTCCCTGTGGGTTTGCCACTGTGAACAGCCTTTAGTCATTTCATCCATTGTTAATCCGTTAAAAATGGTGCCTACATAATTTTACTGTTATTATAATGCCTCATAATGCACTTCAGGTAAAGGTTTATGAAAAGACTTTACATCCATCTTTGAAAGGAAATACAAATCCTTATGACTATTGTGTGCAGTGTGAGTACAGAGCAACCCATGTTGTGTAGATGGTTAATGCTCAACTTATCACCTGTTAGGCAGTTTTCCTGTCCGCTTCAGAGCACTACTTAGGGCCCTTCAGGAATTGACTGCATTACATTTTATTTTAACTGCTGTTAAGACCTGTAAACATGACTACAGAGCAATATATCATGGATAAAAGAAAGGGGTGGCAACTTTACCATCCATCAACATTTTAATTAAGTGCAAAGTTAAACCTTAAGAGTCAGAATGATTGATAGATGAAAAAGAGTAAATAAAGTATAGATGGCTGCCAGATACCCCTTTTCATTCACACACACACACACACTATGCTGTCTCACTTCTAAGTGTATTGGCTAAATTCCTCCAGTTTCATGCCAAATAAAAAATGATAAATCATGTAGCATCCCCCCGCGACCTCATTTGGGACTAAGCGGTATAAAAAATGAGCATGTAGCATTCATTGTTGCCTAAAAAAAATGAAAAGATGGTCATAGGGCTCTGAAGATCTTAGGAAGCTCCCAGCTCTGATCAGCCATTTCCTGCCAACATTTAAGATGTGGTCTGAAAATTCTCCTGAGGTCTGGGTCCCCCGGTGTATCTTAGCAGAAAGTCCAGTTCTTACACATCAACTTACAACAGTGGAACAGCAGCTGAAGGAGTTGGGACCATCACGTCCTTTTGTTGTGACCGGTTCAGTATTATTTATCATAAAGTGCAAAGGAGGAAATGTTCAAAGAAAAATCCACATTTGAATGTTTTGACAAAAAAAGCAGTTTGTCATGTATCAGTGGTGCATTTCTGACTCTAATTTAATGTTTGTTATAGTCAGTCTCTCCCCATTGACAGCTAGCCAAACATAGCCTACTGTAAGTGATCTCAAACTGGGATGGTTCCAGTAGCTCCACTGTAACCACTAAATTATTAGGTTAAGGGTGACAATGAGGAATGACATATTTTAGGCATTAGAAAGTACTAGTTATGTTATAAGCTTGTGTACATAAAAAAACACATGGAGAAACATGAACTACATCTCCTGAGGTGTATTTTGGTATAAAATACCTAATCACCTAGCTAGCACCTTGACATGTGTTGTCCACAACAGTCTTATGTTCAAAAAGTAGTAAAACAGTTGTAAGCTTATTTGTATACACATCCTCCTCCTCTTACTCCCTCGAAGTCCTCTTCTTATGGGAATGTAGTAAAATGACTAAATGAAATAGGATTACACACAGCCTGTTTATAGAAAGTAAATACATCACATTCAATCCTACAATAACTCATGGGGTGTAATGAATGTAAAGATTTCTGAGTGATGTAAGAGTGAGAGATGAATCAAGGGTGGATTTTTTTTCTTTAAAGACCAACTGTAGTTCCATGTCCCATTAATGTACAGGTATACAAACTGTATGTTTACAGGTTGACAATAATCATAAGGTTATGATGTATGATGGGAAGCCCAGTGCTGGTCTTAATATACCTTAGGTTGTGTCTGGGTCACAAAAGGAAAGTTCAAAATACAGTCTGTCATCTAGCACAATTTATTCCACCATTTGTTTACAGTAGTTTTGTAAATGCAGTTTGTTTGTATTTTGTTTTGGCAGAATGTCTTGGCATTCTGAAAAGTGAGTAACACCCCACATAGTTGGAATATTAAACAAATATTGTTAAATATGAACAAATGAATAAATAAGCCCCATTTAGTGGATCCACACTGGGACTACAGAGTCCTTTTTCAGGTCTGAGTGGCTCACGTCTCCAGTCACAGTCATCCAGACCTACTCTAGCATAAACACAATGTGGGGAACTGACAGTAGCATGAATCACACATTCAAACACACATGCACAAACAGTCCTATGCACGGAGGCACACACTCTCACACTCGAGGCTCTCACGAGAAAATGACTAATCATCATCACATGAAAAATCTGGCAGATCCAAAAAGAAAGAACTGAGAAAGGTCACCTTTGTCATTTACAATATATCATGTTGCTTCTCTGCAGCTGTAAACATCAGCAAAGTAAAGGGACGACTGCCAGTCACACACACACACAGAGAACATGGATATCTAGACCGTAAACATTTCAATATACAGACACACAGCACTGTCCTAGTCAGCCTTCTACAGTGACCTTTCATACTGTCCCTCTCTCTCTCTCTCTCTCTCTCTCTCTCTCTCTCTCTCTCTCACACACACACACACACACACACACACAGTGTACATACACATTCCAGGTAAAGCCTGACCCTGGAGCATTCCAGACACACATTACACAGTAGGAGCGTAAACTACATTACTGGCCCCTTCCTTCCTCCCAGCCAGAACTCAGCATGCTCATAGTGTTCCTCTCCAGCCCCAGTCCATCTTTACATTCCCCACTCGGTCCTGTACCTACAAGACAAGCTGGCATCCTCATTTTCCCCCTTCATATTTCCCTGCCTGCCCAGGTGTTCACAAACCACAAATAAGAAGCATTTGGGGGACTTTTTACTTTTTTTGAGCCAATTGTCAAGGAAGGACACTGAAGTAGGAACTATGATAAAGAAGCAGGACCCAGTTTGTTATCTGAGGACGTCACCAAGTTGGAATCCTTTTGCGAGATGAGAGACCCACAGGTTATTGTACAAGTCTGTTTCTCATGGTAAGCTTCTGCAACTCATCAGTCCTCCATTTTTCGGTTTCTTCCCTCTTCATTCTCATCCTCTTCTTCTGCCTTTCTTTCCTCTTCCCTGTCCCCTCCCTGCTCTGCTTCCTCTCCTCCCCCTAGATAAGGCCATGGGAGAGAGCTGTGAGGACCTGAGCATGTCAGGGAGGCAACTGGCCACAACTGAGTTGGAAGGAAAGTTGAGGCCTAATGAAGCCCTTTAAGGGACTGTTTGCCTGCACACATGGGAGGAGAAGGAAGGAGGGGAGTTTGTAACCAGTCTCTTCAGCAAACATAAAATGGCAGGCTCAGGAGGGGCCCATTAATGTACAATGGTTTGACAGTCATGTTTTTTTTCTTCTTTTTGGTTCAGTTCACAATGATAATTATCTTGGTTAGGATGATGAATTCTGTCAGGATAAGTATGTGTTGATCACTTTCATTGTTTCATTGGATTTGGTTGCGTCTGTGTCCAGATATCCATGGCAGGACCACAAGATGTCCTGCAGACACAGAGGAGGAAGGGTGGGGCAGAGCCAGACAAAGAGACAAGGACAGGGAAAATTATGCAAGACTGTAATGACATCAAAGATGTCAAAGTGATTCACAGTCTTGTAAATAAGAACATATTAATGGATGAAAAATAGTTTTGTATAGTGTTGTAGACAATGTATATCAATGCACTCTAAAAAAGTACTCATGGAAAAATAAAGGGGTGTATTGATGTAACTATTCCTACCAGTATTTATGAAAATTTACTCAAATTATTTTACCACTATTTAGTATTTGTAATCCTTATTCTAGTCTAGGAATTGTATATAAATTTTCACCATGCCAGCAGCATAACTCTATGGTTAGCAGTGTTTGTTGATGAATCAGTCCACCTATATGGCCCAGAATAAAATAGGTCAAAAACTACTGGATTGCCATGAAATGTAGTACAGTATTTAAGGTGCCCAGAGGACCAATCCCTTTGACCCTCTGACATTTTCCCTAGCACCTTGACTGGGACCATTGTAATACAAAATGTCAACATCTACTGGCTGGACTTCCACAAAGTTTTGTAGACTTTCATGGTGTCCAGGGCATGTATTCTTCTTCTAACCTCTGTGATTCCATGACGTCTCTTCCAGCACCACTGAGGTTGACATATTTGATTTTTAGTGATATGTATTAACAGCTATTAGATGGATTGCAATGAAATTCCTTTTGTGATGAATCCTGATGGCTTTGGTAATCCTCTGACTTTTAATCATCAGATCAGAATTTTAATTAGTTCACCTTGGTTTCTGAACATACATTTGCAACTAATGATATTCCCCTCAGTCTCATCAGCACTTCATGTTTAGTGCTAATTAACCAAGGTTAACATGTGAACACACTAGACCAAAATGCATACACACCTGTTTAGCATCAGCATCATCTTTCTGAATGTGTTAGCATGCTAATGTTAGCATTTACTGTGGCTCAAAAAGCTGCTGTGGCTGAATACAGCCTCACAGAGGTGCTAGCATGACTATAGACATAAAGGTTATTTACACATACAGAAAGCTGGGTCAGAGACAGCCACTGTCCTCTGTAAAAAAAAACTTGGCTTTGCCCTAATAAAAGCTTCACTTAGTCTATTGAAGCCTGGCATACTAACACTACTACTATAGTGATATTCAGCAAGATACAGATTCACAGATGTATAAAATCTATGATATTAAAAATAATTTCTGGTTATGTTTAAGGGCTTTCCAATCACATCAAAATAATTTCAATGGTGAATTTGTATCAAGTCAAATACATCAAATCCATAACTTATACAAGCCACCATGAGCTTCTGTAGACTGGTTTACATGTGCATTCATAATCAGCAAATGTGCTCACCTTAAACATTAGGCTATTTGTAGTGGGCGTGGTGGTCAGTCAGTCAGAGGGGTGTTCAGGGCAGGACCGATTGATCTCAAACCATGAGTCTATACAGCTGCAGATACACATAAACACACAGGAATAAAAGTAGTTAAAACCGGGAACAGATAGAGATACTTAACACAAATACTTTCTTTGTACAGGTCAAATATTCACAGTCGACTAATCACAGGGTCAGTCACCAGGGCTTAAGAAAAATCACAGTCAACACAGTAAGTTATTAAAGAGTAAAGAAAAATAATAAAGCAAGGGAGAACCTGAGATAACGACTGAATGATATTGTAGTCTTAAATACAGTACTACAGAGGATTGTGGCTAAAGTAACACGTAGGCATGTTAGAAGGCCTCCATTTACACCCACATTGGCAGAACTTACACAGTATACAACATATACATGAGACCCAGAGGGAATAAGAACAGCAGTGTCACAGCACACTCGCATATGCATTATTTTAATTAAGCTTTATGGAACTTTACCACTGAACATAATTTTTCTGTTAGAATGTGTGTGGTGGAAGAAGATCATTTACCACAACACCACAAAGTAGAAATACTCCATTACAGGTGAAAGACTTGCAATCAAGATGTTACTGAAATAAAATTACAAAGATATAGCCACCAAAATGTATTTCAAAATAAATAACTTATTTTGAAAAACACATCAAATTGTTACATTGTCATTTATGAAATATTACATATACTTCTGGACTATACCTTAACATACAGTATAAGCTGTATTTTATAATAATCTTGTAAACTGTTGAAGAGGAACAGATTTTTAGTAGGTAGTTTTATGCAAGCCATTCATCTAATGTTTTGCATGATAATTCTTTACCTGGAAAGTATGTGACTACAGTATACTGTACTTACAGTAGGGGCCATATAACTGGTGTTTAATTAAAGAAATTTCAAAACATGTTTTATAATAAAATTTATGTGGCATGCATATACGCGTGTGATGCTATTTGACAGTCACAATATGTTTTTTGAAAGTTGTTCTACTGCAGGCTCCTGAAGCGTAACATTACTTTGCCATATTTCCAACAGTGGAAATCCAGTATACCTAATTGAATGAGGGTCTTTTAGTACATAACTACTTAATTTAATCAAATGCATAAATGGGTGAATCTCTACTAGAACAAGATTTGAAACTGGTGGTCTTGTTTGACTCAAATCAACTTGTTCCAGAATTAATAATTAAATGTTTAATATTTATTTGAAACATCAATTACTTATGATATACAAGGCTGGACAAGTCATTAAAGTAGTTGTTTGTTTGTAAATCCTGCAGTTTCCTGAGGAAAACACTGGATCTAACCTGCTTGGAAATATTTGCTACGAGTCACATGGCCGGTTATGTTTTTGACCGCTCAGGAAGAGGAAGGGGTGGGTCAGACAGGTGGATTACTTTTTAGTCTAATGCTAGAGGGACTTGATTTCCACAACTTGGACACCGAACTTTAAGTGAAAAACATATTATGTCCTTCTGAAATGTACTGGAGTAGAAAAAAGCATAAAATCTAAACCTTCAAGTAACATATCTTAAATTTATACTCTGGTTGTGCCTTTTTCAGCCAAAGTAAGGTTTAAAGGAAAGTACTTTCCTACAGGTCTGAGTAATGTTGTAATGTTACTACCTATACATTTGAGCTCTGTGTATAAAACATAAACTGTATATAAAGATGGACGATGCATCACCACTTCACTATGCAAAAGCCAAAATATTGTGAACATGGTGGCTGCCCTTTTGCTTTTGTAGCTGCATTAGACCACCAACAAAAGCAGTCAATCACAAAATACACCCCTTTTTATAGAACAAATGTACCAGAAAAACAACCACTTGTACAAACATCAGTATGATAATATCTACTTGACAGAAATGACCTCTGGGAAAAAATGATTTGTTTTTTGAAATTTTAGTTTGGCACCTGTCCCATCTGTTAAACATGGAGGAGACAGGGATTATGACTCATGGTGGCTTCACCTCTGGGAGCTGTCACATCATCTGTCTTCATAAACAAACAGTCTTTGGCAGTAAGTCTCCAACCATTTTTATTCAGAGTTACTTTGTAAAAATGAAAACTGAAGAGAACTACTTATGGCTAGCTACATTTAATCACATATTGTATCAAAACCTTATGTTCAAACAAAGGTGGAATTGTTTGGGAAGAGCACCAAGTACTACATGGCATAAAAAGAGAACTGTGTACCGACATGAAAACATCATCTCAACAGTGAAGTACGGTGGAGGGAGCTGGGGCTGCTGTGCTGCCACTGGACCTGGACCGCTTGCCATTGTGGAGGTGAAAATGAATTCCAAAGTTTATCCAGGTATCTCACAGGATAGTGTCAGGGTGGCTGTCTGCAAGCTGCAGCTCAGAACAAGCTGGGTGATACAGCAGGACGGTGACCCTAAACATTGAAGCAAATCTACTACAGAATGGCTTAGAAATAGTGTGTTTATTGATGTTTGTGACTTTGGTGGAAATCAGATCACATTTCATGGCCAATTATTGCAGAAAACCAGAAAACTGCAAACAGTGCCATTACTTCTTTATGTGACTGCTTTGTGTAACAGTTATCAAATATTCATATCCAACACATTTTGTATCAAAAACATAAACAACATCAGTCATCACATCAGATTGTAAGCTCATATGTGTCAGGTTTCGGCCCCAATGGTTTCCGGTCTCACGCTTTTATTTTGTTCTCAGTTCCTGTTTTGGTCTCACTCCACTAGAGCTCCCTTTACACTAATCAGCACTCATTGGTTTCACCTGTTTTCACCCCTTCATTAGCAGCTTTCCTCCCACTGGAAAGCTGCCAGATTGTCCTTGACCCCTGTGCAGACTTTCCAGCGTTCTTGTTTATTGTGATTCCTGTTGTGACCCCGGATTGTTTCGACCACCGATTACTGCCTTGTCCTTCTAGATCTGTTTGCGCCTGTGTACTGACCTTTGGTCTTCTCTCTCTGACCTCCCTCTTTTGGATCCCTTTGCTGTGTATGTTTGCCGGCTTCGACGCTGCACTGTTGTAGGACTTGGATTGTGTTTTCTGGACTGTTACTGTGTATGTTTCGAGTGCTTACAGTAAAAAGATTGTATTTATTCTATCTCACCTGGCCTCATAATTGAGTCCGCCATCAACATTGAGGGTAGCTTTACTGGCTATCCTGACACATATGCACCTCCTTTCACATATCAGAACCTTATTTTATAGATTGCATGTACTGTAGGTGATGTAAAAACTATGGAAAGTTGGTTATTGTGGTAATCAACACAAACAACAATAGAAACAATTGAGGCAGGCTACTTTGATGCCCAACTGCCACAATTTGATTAAAAAACATATCCTGAAATTTTCTGTTTCTTACTCATTTTGAGTGTAAGATTTGAGTCTTATAGACTCTAGTTACTTTATAAACTTTAGTTACTTCTCATACCTTTAGTTCCCTTTAGTTACTTTTCATAACTTTAGTTACCTTTCATAACTTTATTTTCCATGTTTATACATATTACAGCTGTGTTGATGATTGTCCAGAACTACTGAGCTTTGGTTATTTTAATACATTTATTTTCCTTGCTTATATATCTTAAAATTGTAATGAAGCAGAATCTGCTTACTTTGAATGCTGTAACTTCTGTAGAGACTAGATGTCTGCATCTCTTTGTGACCAGATAGCCTATTTACATTTTAACAGAGACCTGTTGGCCTGTTTTACACTCACACCTCGACCCACTTAGCATATCCCCAGTCCTGCTTTGTCTTGGGATGTCCAGGGGCTACAACCTGAGATGACCACCTGGCCAGTTTAACATACTTATTAGTATCACACACACACACACACATACCTAGATTTACCATATTTCAACATGGAAGTGCGAGCTCCGGCTCACACCAAATGACCAATAGGATCACAAACTATTGAAGGTTGTACCCCTGTCCAGGGCGGAGCAGCCCAAGAAGATAAAATGTATTGTAAAACTTAATTCAGGGTCCTGAGTGTAAGATATATTCCAGTTCTTTTAACCAGGAACTCAGAGAGACGAGGCAGACCACTTGGATATAAAAATAACCGTGCTGGTTTATTCAAAAGATCACAGGTAAAATTAACATTACACGTCCAGGTATCTTCACCTCCAATACAAAAGAATTGGGTTCATTTCTAACATGAGGATACCGTGATCCACTGCAAATAAATGTCCACAACCCGCTTAGAAACAGTAGAAAAACACATCCCTTTTTATGCCAGTATTTGACAGAGTATTAAACCAATGCGCTGACACCTTTGCAGTACATTCAGTGGTATGTAGCAAACAGCAACTGCTAATGGCAAATTTGGTGTAGTGTTACTTTACTGAAATGTAGCCTAAACATGCTGCAGGCCACAGCACAACTAACAAAATCCATGGCAATGTACCTCCTGTTTCTTGTAGAGAAATGTTACATTTTCATTTCATTTTAGTGAAGACTTTTAAGGCTTAACGCAACATTGTCCAAAAGTGTTGCTTACATCACTGAACGTAACTGACATAAACAAACTTGACAGCACCATAACTCATTAGATTGACAGGTGATTGGCAAATAATAATTTGCTGCTGTATTTGATTGGATTGCAGTTTGAGCAGGAGCCAAATTCCTTTTATTGATTGAATGAATGACTGATTGATTGATTGGTTTACAGAGCGAAGTTCTATTGTGTAATGCTTTTAGTTTTATATTGCATGCATTGTAGGCTACATACTGTATATTCTCTGAACCTTTAGGCGAGCTACTCAGAATCAGGTAGCAAACTACTGGTAGCTTGCCAGCAATGTGTTGGAGACCCCTGGTCTATGGTATAAATTAACAATAATGTATGCTTACTTTAATTTTTTATAATTCTTGATAGATTTGTGCTTAAAGGTGCTATGTGTATCATTTAGTATCAAATTATTCTCAGATTTCTTTTAAAAATTACTTTTATTACACAAAAATGATGTTTTGCTGTCTTTCACTACAGGTAACGAGATAAACTACTAGGATTTTGATCAAATACTAAGCCTGATGGGAAATTCTTTATACATACTGTATAAAACCCACTGAAGACTTTTGAGACACACTAGCTGCTATCAGTCATTTCCAGGCTACTCTCATTTGTTTATGCTAATTATCTGAAGCTATCATAGTTAACGTGACAGTGATATAGTGATGTTTAGAAATCCTAGCACCTTTATTATCCAGTGATATAATGTAAACAACAAATCAAAGGCAAGGGGTACTATTCATCTTACAGTAAAGGAGTACCTTTACTGCAGTTAAGTAAGTGTATTTAATTAGAAGAAGTGCAAAATTATATATGAGGCAATAATTCAAATGTGTCACCTTTTGTGGTAGATGCAGAGGCACGGCAGTCTGGCTATGGTGTCCCCTTGCTGCAGTTCCTCTAGACAGATGACACACTCACCGGCATCCCTCGCCAACACATCATCTAAGGTGGCAGGCACACAGAGCAGAACACATATCAGTATGCACCAAAAACAACACATTTCAGACTCTTGGCATCATACATCACACAGCAGTGAGCAGCAGAGAGAGCAGGCCGGTGCATTACAACAGATACAGTCGTTAGTTATGAATTAGGAGCCTCTTGTCTGTTTCCAGAGTAAAGATATCAAAGTCTCCATCATTTTTTATTTACTTCCATAGTTGTACAGTGATGAATGCAGGCTTTTCAGAGGTCTTAAAAGGTCTGCACACTGTAAGACTTTGGAAAGTAGTTCTATTAAATTTTTAAAGAGTTTCTTTTTCAGGAGCTTTTACTCTACATTACATTTACTCTCATGTAGTCCAGGATGCACTAGGAAGAAAGAACATCTAAGTATAGCAATATAGTAAATGTTGTGTTATACTACATACTATACTATATACGTCAAGTTTATCACATTCTGTTTTATCCACATGCATATGTACCTTTATACACAGGCAATATTTTGCTTTCATTGTTTCTTACTAAATAGTGTAGTTATTTTAAGAAGAAAACACCACTCAACAGTCAAAGTGTTTACTGGTTAAAATGCTCTAAGATTTTTTGCTTTTTAGATTTCTTACTACATTTAGTAATCATTTAAAATAACATCTCTCCCTATCAAGAAATATGAACCCTAAGACTGTTCATGATTGATCATGGTCGCCAGTTGTCATAGTAGCTGAGTGCACTTTCTAGAATGTAAGGTTTTCAAGTCCACAGCAGACAGAAAAAGAAGAAATCAAACAAATGCAGATAGAAGTGAACCTTTGAAAGGATTTAAGACAAGTAAAAAACAAAAATCAGACTGCAAATGGAACTGTTACACACCAGAATGTCTCATCTGCAGCTTTAAGCTACATGCTAACATTAGTATGTAGCTCAGATCTAATTATATAGCTCATGTACTAATTAGCAACAGCTGAGACTAATGGAAATGGCACTAGTTTTGTAGGCATTTAGTCATTAACTAAAGTACTAACTGGACCAATTAAAAGTTTGCCCTAATGCTGGCACTAGATGAAAAGTCACCAATGTGATTACAGTTCATCCTCAGGGAAACATGAATGTATGCGTCAAATTTCATGGAAATCCACACTAATGTCAACCCCATTTTGACGCTAGGCAAAATGATCACCAATGTCAATAGGAGACCATGAATATCTGTACAGTTCTAAGTGTTGGGATACCTCACAGAATAAACTGTGACCTTCAGGTGATTAGGGGTCACCAATGTCAGTACAGCTTATAGTTGTTGAGATATTTCAGTGTGGTGACAGGTGTTTCTATTACTTCATCCATTAGTATATCAATGAAACTAGGCTAAGTAACAGAACAACTCACTGAATAATGTAGAGAACAGTTCAACAGAAGCACAAAAAAAATACAGTTGAATCAGTGTGAACATGAATTGAACATTATGACCTCCATGAAGATGAATTTATCGACTGTTGGATGAGATTGCATTAATTTTAGCTAGATGTACCTAATAAACTGCCAAATGAGCACAGTAAAGCATGTGTATCATAATATGACATGGTGTCATAACACAACAGTGCCAGTGCAGAATAAAGTTTTGAACTTGGCAGATAATATACTGTAGTGCGGCATGTTACAGTAATATAAGGGATATCTTACACACAAACTATAACACATTGATGTTTTGGGTAAAATGGTGATCCTCAAAATCTTTTTTTCAGCTACTATGCAGGTTGATGGGTCCCAAAAGTTTCATAACACCTAATTTCAAATTTGTCACTGTGGGGCCCAGCTACTGACTCTGCAGCCTGGTGGCTGCTCCAGTTTGACATTGGCTCAATGGTAAAGCCGAGGCTGAAACGGTTGTCTAGGAGCCAATAGAATGTAGATTGAGTATTTACAGTCTTTCTGTAAGTAAGAAAAAGCAATGTAATACATCATTTAAACTTAAGCTCCTGTATTCAGAGGTTTAGTTGCAGCTGCATCAAGTGTTCTTTTGGCCACTTGAGGAACAAACTGTAAACACGTCACTGACGTGACTGTGCACAAACATCTTCAGTGCTGATGGATTAGGAAGATAGATAAATAGATAGATAGATAGATAGGATATGGGCCAGAAAAAGAGGAGTCGATTGTGAGGTGGAATAAAAGTCAGAAGACACTCTGACTGCAAATCAGCTTAGTTCTTCAACAAACTCCCATAACCACCCACCCTCTCCCTTTCACTGCACATCTCTCACCTCTCCTGACCCCCCTCCTCTCTTCTGTTGTTCCTTGTAGCACATCCCTCCATCCTCCTGAAAACACCCAGCATCTCTCAGTGTTCTGGATAATGTTAGGTATTTTTAGTCAGATAGATATTGGATAGATACTTTATATATTTGAAATGTTTAGTGGAGATAGGGTGTCTAGTTAGACTGTTAAATGCTTAGGCCTGCTTATGAGTTTCTACAGGGCACTTCTGGTCAAGGATACCAGAGAGAAGAGTTGATGACTGTCAGCAGACAGGGTGTTTAATATTATTATTACAATGTGTATAACTGTAGCCTTAGCCATAATGTTCTTATGTTTAAGACACGACATGTACTAGAGGTCGTGAGAATGTTTTTAGTTACACACCACTTAACCAACAGACATACACATTCACACGTTGATTTGCTTCATGTTTTGACTACTGCTAGAGCCAGCTGCAAAGCTGGTAACAGAGACGTCCCAGTTGACGTTTCTGTATAGTATGGGGCTAGCCCAACCGAAGTGATAAAATGTATAGTCATGGTGGGCTCAGGGTCTTTCATCTTACATCTGCCTGCATGCATGTTGGAGGTGCAAGACACTTGAGCGTGTAATGTTAATTTTACCTGTGATCCTTTGAATAAATCAGCATTGTTTTGAAGTTACTTGGACTGCCTCGTCTCTCAGAGTTAGCATGGTAAGACGGACCATATCCTACAACGTGGTGCCGTGACCCGCGACCCAGCTGAACTCTGCAAGACGACCGGTCCATTTCCTGAGTAATGGTCCCGGACCACCAACAGCGGTATTCCTGTGCCAGGCTGAGCTGGAGATCCGATATGCGGTCCTGAGCTGAATTCTTCCCTGATGAGAGAGTGGCCTCCTGGTTGCAGTCAGAGCTGTGAGCAGTCCCATACATCAACTGGCCGGCCAGAAATGATAGGTAAGTGGAACCTTTGTAATACATAAACTCCGCACATTGAATTTATTCTAAATTACAGTTGATGTGTGGAGCTGTCCACTCTCGACGTTCTAAATTTGTTTCTAA